TTTAAAATTTAACAGAAAAGTAAACAATTGTTTTTGCATTTTAAAAAAACACAAATAAATGAGTGTTAAAAAAAATCAGCTATTATGTGTTATTTGTGAAACCAAAACTCTCTCTACACAAAACATACATACGTATATATCAATGATAAGAAAGTCAGGTAGAGTGCAGTTTAATGGTCGAGTTGCATTATCACAAAAGTCCATCCTTTCTTACCTTTTTAAAATTAATTAGACATCTCATTTGATCTAGGGAAAAATCCATAAAAAAACTATAAATTATGCACATCATAACACATTTATCATAAGCTTTTTTTGTAACACCAAAAATCTCAAACTTGTACCTATATAACACATTTACCCTCCATCGAGATTGTGTTAATGAACACCGTTAAAAATTTGACCACATGGACAACAGAAGATAAACAACGTTGACATGGCGTCAACGTGACTTGAGTGAGATAAAAACGCTAGAAAATTATCTAATGCAATCTTAATAGAGAGTAAATGTACCACACGAGTACAAAATTAAGGTTTTTTATATCACTAGAAAACATTTAGAATAAATGTATCATAGGGAACATAGTGTATAGTTTTTCATGTTACCGAAAAAAATTCAAGTTTAGAGTTTTTGGTGATTTTTGTTTTCCTTATTTCTAGAACGATATATGAATATCAACTTGCCTTACATATTAAGTGGATATAATTTATCTTGCTTACACGCACAGGGAGCATTAATGAAGCGGGGTGTTTTGCTATTAGTATTTATCATTTAAATACTTTATATTATTTATTATTACCATGCACTTATATAATCTTTAAGTTTTTTTTTGCAATGAATAAGGTGATTGGCCATTAATGAGGGCACAACTAATAAGTCAACAATTGATTATTAATTTCTAGAGTTTCAAAAGCGCAAGGTCTCGCAGAAGAGTGGGGGAGAAGACATACTTGGCAAAAATAAAAAATAAAAACAAAAGAACAAAGTCGTGATTAATAGTTAACCACGGTCGAGTTAAGTTGCTTTCTGGCCAGTTGTCCTATACAACTTCAGAATCTCCAGAAGAGTGCGATCGCGGCCCCAACTGAAATACGCTTTTACTCTCTGCTTTCTGTTTTGCTTTGCTCCACCGAATCCGTGATCTTACCCTTTTTATGGTTTCCCTTGGAAAAAAAAGGAGAAAGTCAAGTAAAAAAAGGATAAAGGGCAAAAAGGACACGACAACGGCGCCACCTGCAGAGAATTTTAAGCTTTGCGTTCTCACAAGCCTCAACAAAGTATCTAAAGGCTGTGTTGATAGATTTATATATACATATATATACACATATATGTTTTTAATCTAATCTTGTCTTGAACAAGTTTTAACGTTTATTTGGCTTAAAACAAATGAAATTTTCACAACACATAATTCTTCAAAACCCTTTAATATTTTAAAATTTAATTTCTGTATCTTAAAAAGCATAAATAAATAAGTCCTAAGAAAAATCAGCTAATTCTGATAATTATGATTACCTTCTTTCGTTCTATTTTATTGTGTGTCATATGTGAAACCAAACTACACACACACACACACACACATATATATATATATATATATATATCTCTATGAATAATGAGAAAGTAAGATAAAATGGAGCTTAATGGTTAGGCTATATCATTATAAAACTTCATTCCTTCCCACTTTCTTTAACATCAATTAGACATATTGCTTTAAAATAAAGCAGAAACAACATAATCATCGCATTTAATCTAAGATAATGCTTTTAGAACAATACATCAACATCAACATCAACATCAACATCAACGTCAACTTACCTTATTTATTAAATCGGATGTAATCTTTCATAAATATACATATATATATATATATATACATAAGTTTTGCAATTGTCATTTGTCATTTAAATATTTTTTATTATATACTATTATTGTGCACTCATATAATCTTTTAAGAGAGGGGGGTTGGTTTACAATAAATGAGGTGGGTGCCTATATTAAGTTTTATATAATAAATGAGATGGTGAGCCTATAATGAGCGATAATTGACTGATTTATATTTGATTTTTAATATCTAGAGTTTCAAAAGCATCTGGTCTCTCTATCTCTAAATGCAAAGGAGGAAGGAGATAGACGACCAAGAAAAAAAAAATGAATAGGAAAAAGAGGTGCTAATAGGAGACCATGGTGGAGTTAAGTTGCTTTCTGGCCAGATCAGTCACGTGGTAGTACGACTTCATACACGTGGACCCCACCGAACTTGTCCCATCTGTCTTTGTACACGCCGTCCATTCCAAATTCGCCACGCGGCCAACAAAATCTCCACCCATATCGGGCCTCGGCCCCACCTTGAAGATACTTTTACAAAGGACTTTGTATAATGCTTGTAGCGTGCAACTTTTTCGGTTTTATTTATTTATTTGAGTAGTTGATATACGCAATACCGTTTCTTTCTTTTACTTAGGTGCATGTGAAAAGTGAGGGCATGTGTTTAACAGGAGCATGCAACCTTTTCACTTTTCCACCATAACAAAAATTATAAAAAATGCAGAGGCGAGGTTGGTTTTGTGGGAACTAGTGAATCACCTTCACCACCCGCTTGTTGACCGGTTGCTCGGGACTTTTCCTTGAACCTTCCTATGACTCTCTTGTTTCCGTAAAGCAAAAACGACGACACATAGGGTCAAAAGGCATGAAAAGAAGAAGTGCATCAGAGAGACACCATACGTGGATGAACAACAACACCACCATAATTGAAGTGATTATCGTGAAACATATTGTCGGTAAAGGGAAAAGGAGAACTACATCTTTCTCGAAGAGTTGGAAAGAAGACTTACTTCTCCTACCACATCTTCTATGAAATATAATGCCTACAAGTCTTTCACATTAAACTTTTAATATATAGTATGTAAAATCTCAATTCTAATCTCATCTAATATAAATAATATTATGTTTGATAATAGACGCGATATTAAATGATTTCAATTGACCAAACGTTTTGTATGATTGGCTTTTCATTTCATATAAGGGGCTATCTAATTTATTTAGACGAATGAACTCTACGCTTCATGATGGTCCTTACCTTTCGCTAATCAAAGGATTAGCTTTATAATGTTTGTTGTTAGAACTCATGTGTAACATTTTTATTAAGGGTGAGCAACCGGGTCGGTTCAATCTGCAACCGAATTGAACTTGCCCAACTCTACACTTGTTCACACGAGAACCGGTCAACTCCCATGTAAAAATTCTGGGAACCAGCCTTAGGAAGAACTGGTTTGAAACAGTTTAGAACGATGCTAAATCTTTTATATATAAGACCCTCACTACTTTCTTTTGGTTCTCACTCTCATTGCTAGCATCTCTCTTAGACTCTCTAGTCTCTCAACTTTCCCCAGCAGTGCCCTCGATTTCTCTCTTTCTGGAGTCTTGCCGACGCCGTCTCATCTCATTTCTCTCTCTTGGTCTTGCCGACGCCGTCTCCTGTCCTCCTCTCTTGATCTTGCCGGTTGTGGCCTCGTCTTTGTTGGTCAGCCGTCGATCAGCCCACTATTAGCCAGGTTCGTTCTTTCTCATAGCAACTAATCAGAGAGCTTTTCTGAAGATGAATAGCCTGATGAAACAAAGATGCTTAGGGAAACTATCAACGTCTTTTATTTGGATTTAGAGATCTGACTTATATGGTGAAACATGGCCCTCAAGATCTACATATTTAGGCTATTTAGCCTTTTCCAAATTAGGCACATAAAAACATATAACATGTTCCGATTTCCAAAAATTCTAAATAGAGTTCAAAAGGGAAGATTAGCCAACATCAAGAGCTGTTTTACCTTTCTACGTATGAAATTTAAAGTAGAAAGACATCCTCATCAGCTTGCTTTTATTAGCCCCCCGCACATTGGTACTTCAGTACCAAAATATAATTTCTTTTTTGCACAGAAAAGGTTTCATACTTCTTCATTCACGATGATACTTCATAATCTTTTTCTTTCTTTTTTATTCGGGCAAAAGCAGAGATTCATGAAGATAAATTTTCTTTACCACTTGAAGTTAGATGTTGAAGTTGCCCAGACAGCTATAATAATTTTCCATCCTTTTCAAGACCCAAATCTTATTACACTTAATACTCGATGTCTCTGGTAAACAAGTTGGGCATACACGTGAACGTGCACTGTCTTCTATGGAAAGCTTGTGATGAAGCTAGGAAAATGGGCATCATCAGAAAAAAACTAGGCTTTGTTCTTTAGCCCCCTTCAGGCGAAATTTTTATTTGCATCTGCTGAGAAAAATAAACTTTAATTTTCATTTTCTGGACCACGTGGGAGGGTTAACTATGGTTTGCCAATACCTAACATTTTTTTTTAATTAAACAGGGTCGGCGGTAATTACTTTTTATAAGGCAAAGACTTACTCATCCCATGAATAAGTTACAAACCACATGTTATATAAGATTTACTATTACATCGCAAAAACCATCAGTTTTGTTCAAAGTTGTCTTTATATATATATGGGACGATAAGAATTAACCTAGAAAGGTTGCATTTTATATAAAACGTTAGTAATCATGAAAACAGGTCGGTACTTTTTCATTAGCTGAAAGCCGAATTTCTTGTAGAAAGTTACTGATCACATGAAATTTTGTTAGTTACTTACATACTTACAAGTCACATAATTTCTTTCGGAAATCCCATTGAGAAAAGGAGGAATTGGAAGGAAATGAAATGACATAAAATTAACTTGGCATCCATAAATGTTGAACATGCAACTAATGTGAAAGGGGAGTTATGAGATCCATCAGCTAATCATTATTAGGTATGAATAGAATGTGCAACTCCATGCCATAGAGGAGCTCGAGCCATTAGATCGGACGATCAAGGTAATAGTGGTGGACGACCATGGGTCAATGAATGCCACCAAAGGTCTAGGCAGTAGTGGGCATCGATGGAGGACCATTGAAGGAGCTTTGGCCAAGCGATGGCGAGATGGATGACGATAAACAATTGTGACGAAAAAAAAGAAAGAAAGAAAAGGAGAACATAAATAAAAATAAATAAATAAAAAGACGGCGTTGTTTTGTCCACGTTAAATCGCCAACCGTAACATGTAGGATGGCCAACAATAAGTGGACCACCACGTTACTAATTTCAGGTGATAATTAGTATGAAGTCACCAATTTCAAGTGATAATTAGTATGAAGGATTATATTGAAATTTTACGTAAAGATTTATGACTATATTGATAAAATTGAAAAGTGTAAGACTTGTTAGAATCCGTAAAAATGGTTTGTGACTAAATTTCGTAATTTTCCCTAGAAGTCTCTAGCCTTCGAACTGACTAGATTAATATCTTCTGATGCACAGAGAAGACAAACAAAGAGAGAGAACAAAAATGGCGGAAGCTGTCATCATCAGCATTGCTGGAGAGATCATTACTAATCTGATTACTCAATCACTAGATAAGGTTGGAAAGTTATGGGGCATCAAGCATGAACTCGAGGTGCTCGAGGACACTGTCTCCACTCTTCGGGCTGTATTGGACGATGCAGAGGAGCAATCCAACCAAAGTCGCCAAATCCGAGTTTGGCTTGAGAAATTGAAAGAAGCATTCTATGATGCGCAAGATGTGCTTGAAGAATTCAATATTGAAGCTACACGACGAGAATTGAGGGACCACAATGCAATGATCAAGGAGGTAAAGGCATTTTTCTCAAGTTCAAACCATCTTGCTTTTAAATTGAAAATGAGTTACAAAATAAGAGCAGTGAGGGAGAGAATAGAAGCCATTAATGCCGGTAGGAGATTCCACTTGGCTGAGCGCTCCGTGGATTCGCGAGTAGAGAGAGAGTGGCAGAAGAGAGAAGAGACACATTCGTTTATACATGAGGGAGATATTAGAGGGAGAGATGATAATAAGAAGACGATCATAGAATTCTTATTGGATTCAAACGTGAATGAGAATGTTTCCATCCTTCCGATAGTTGGTATTGGTGGGCTTGGAAAAACAGCTCTTGCTCAATGTGTGTATAATGATGAGATGGTCAGTAAACAATTTAACTTGAAAATGTGGGTTTGTGTCTCTAATGAATTTGACATGAAAAATATAGTGAAAAATATCATTGCTTGTGCAAAGGAGAAAGAACCAACCGAGGTTTCGATGGAACGGTTGCAAAGTGAACTGAGGGCCACAATTGATGGAAAGATATATCTCTTAGTTTTAGATGATTTGTGGAATGAGGAAGGAGAAAGATGGTCAAGCCTGAAAACTTTATTGGTTGGAGGAGCTAAAGGAAGCAAGATCCTTATAACTACACGCCTTCCTTCGGTTGCGAAGATCACCGGCACTGCTCCGCCTCATCTTCTTGGGGGCTTATCCGAAAGTATGTCTTTTGATTTACTAATGCACATGGCTTGTTGTAAAGAAGAGGAATTACAAGATCCTGACATGCGAGCTATTGGTAAAGATATAGTTAGAAAGTGCTCTGGGGTTCCGTTGGTTGTTCGAACTGTTGGGAGTTTACTCTCTAAGAAAAGTAAGCACGAATGGTTGAAATTCAAAGAAAATGAGCTCCCAGATGTGTCTCAAAGGGAAGACAACATAAAATTAGTTCTTAAGCTTAGTTATGACCATCTTCCTTCACATTTGAAACAATGTTTCGTGTTTTGTTCATTGTTTCCCAAAGATTATGAGATAAAGAAGCGGACTTTGGTCAATCTTTGGATGGCAGGAGGATTTATCCAGCCATCAAATAGAAGTCAGCATTTAGAAGACATTGCTCATGGATATTTCATGGATCTACTTTGGAGCAACTTCTTCCAAGATTTTAAAAAAGAACCTTTCACGAACGAGGGGACTTGCAAGATGCACGATTTGATGCATGATCTAGCTTGCTTAGTTGCGGGGACCGAGTATTGGGTGGCATTGGACGACACAAAATCCATACATGAAAGAGCTCGTCATTTATCTTCTCGTTTAAATTCCAATATTATGGGTGAACTTCCAATCTCACGCTTGAAAGCAAGTCCCCTGAGAACATTTCTGTCTGTCGCTAGATATCGGGAAATTGGATCAAGAGGACCAACAAGTGAAGCAGATCTACGCCTACTCATTCAAAGTTTCAAAAAGTTACGCATATTGGATCTGTATTACACATATGTCGGGAAGGTGCCAAGGTCCATTGGTAAGTTGAAGCATCTCACGTATCTCGATCTCTCTTACAATTTAGAACTCGAAAGGCTTCCTAACTGCATTACGAGATTGCAGAATTTGCAAACACTTAATCTCAAATTTTGTTTCCACCTTAAAGAATTGCCGAAGGATATAAGGAAGTTAGTCAACCTTCGAAATCTAGACATAGATGATTGTCTTGAACTTGGTTATGTGCCATACGGACTAGGGCAATTGAGTTCTCTGCATAGGCTAACGCGCTTCATTTTGCCCGACGATAAAGCTCTTGCTAAGGATTGTTGCGAACTTGGGGAGCTAAATGGGCTTAATGACATCCGAGGAAGCCTTAGCATTGAAAATTTGGGAAGCGTGACGGATGTGGTAGCAGAATCCAAGGCAGCGAACTTGATAGGAAAGCATTCTCTGGAATCTTTGCAACTTGAATGGGGAAATTTCGATACCGTTGATGCAGTAATCGGGGATAGAGATGAAGCGCTGTTAGGTGGACTGCAGCCGCATTCAAATCTGCAGAAGTTGACGATCGGGGAATATAAAGGTGAGAGCTTTCCAAAGTGGATGACGGAAAACCTTGCGGCTTCCTTGCCAAATTTAGTCGAGGTATGCATCTTTTCTTGCGGAAGATGTAAACGTCTCCCTCCATTAGGCCAACTACCTCGCCTCAAGTCTTTATCGATTTGGAGGATGCCTGAATTGGAAGACATCGAGCCAAGCCATTCATCGACTTCAACACCACCATTTCCTAGCCTATTGGAATTAAGGATCGATGGCCGTACGAAATTGAAAGCCATGCCACAAACTCCGCGTCTCGAGAAATTGATGCTGGCTGAGTCCAACCCAGCATTGATAAATATGATATTTGAGCTTAATAAATTGAAGAGCCTGGTAATCAGGGATACGGAGCTTCCAGAATGTTTGCTTGAGGAGTGTTTGAAAAGCCTCACCTCCCTCGAATCTCTTCGCATCGAAGGATGTCATCGGTTAACTTCCCTCTCACCGCAGCATCTATCGAAGAACCTCGTGGATCTCCATATTAGGGATTGTAAGGAGTTGGATTTATCCAAAGACGAAAGCGGCAACATCAACCACGACTTGGATTTCCATGGAGGACTTCAGAATCTCCGCTCCGTGGAACTCTTTCGCCTTCCAAAACTGGCGTCTCTCCCGCGGTGGCTTCTACGGCTCCGCAATGTCGAGCGCCTCGAAATTGGCTATTGCGACAATCTGAAGGATTTACAAGATCTCGAGGCCCTCCAATCGCTTCAGCGGCTCAAAATCGTCGCGTGTCCCTTGCTGACGTCATTACCCGAAGGAATGCGAAGGCTCGCATCCCTTACTTACCTGGGTATCTTCGGTTGCCCAGAATTGGAGAGGAGGTGCAACAGAGATGGAGGCGAGGACTGGGACAAGATCGCTCATATCCCCCGCATACAACTTGGATGGGGGTAGATCGAGCCCCTGATTTTCTTTACTGAAGGTATGTATGTGGGGGGCACCTTGTTTCCCCAGGTTTTTTACTTGAAGAACAAGTCTCGAATTGCGTGTTTCGATTACTTGATTCGATCGGGGAACACGAATTAACCCTTGGATGAAAAACCAGCACGATTTTGCAGGCACGGAATCGCTCTCGCTTGCTTCTGGACACAGAGGGAGAGAGGAGGTCATCGCGCGACCAATACTCTACTAGGATCATCTTTCATCGACGAAGTAGTCGATGAAATCACTCTCATCCTGGCATGTTTTGATGACGGGAATCGCCGTCGTCCACGGCCTCCAAGGCTTCATCGTGCTACAATGTCTCATTCCTCCTCCCGCTTGCAATGTGTTCTGTTTTTGAACTGATCACCAAATGTTCGTTAAAATGCCCGAACGAAATCGGAATACAATTTTGAGAAGCATTCTTATGCTTTAGTGTCTGGAATGATCGTTGTGTAATATATACATGTTCGACTCACTTACAGTGTCTCTGTTTCCAGTGATTTTAGACTGCGACCGAGATCTCCATATGCCACGACTACTTCATTTGTTGTTCAAATCCGTCCATATATGTTGTCTCTGCTTCTGATATTCTGCCAGGTATTGATTCATGTTAATCAAATATCTAGATGAGCAAAGCACGTCAACTTACGCCACAAGTAACGTATACCCAAGGGGAATCGTGAGTTCGTTTCGGCTTCTGACGAATTATATTCGCTTCGCTTGGTTGAGATTATGCTTGCTGGTTGTTTGTTCTCTTGCTCGGCTGATTGGTGTTGTGGTCTTACTTTGGTATTGCTATAACGATGCTTTGATAATTTTGCGCATCCGAATTTGATTACACTCGTGAATTTCCTTTGAGCTGTCATTTGGGCTAATTGAGGAATTCTCAATTGCACTGATTGCTATTTGTCATAGTGGCCAGGGAAGCTTTCATATTGATATGATAGGATAGCAAATTTCTCAAGAAACAGATGCGCCTATTGGCATGCATTATAATGTGATTTTGTCCGGAAATAATATGAAGGTAGAACCGTTTGAGGTGCAAAATACATGGACTGGTGAATTCTAACCGGGGTAAAGACGAGTGATGTCTTACTCTTGAATCTATTGAGAGCCTAGAAGGTCTTGCCTTAGATGGATTACTTCTTTGCCATCAACTAACATTAAAAAGTATGAGGAAAGAATAAAAACAGAGTGCAATGAGGTGTTTGGTGAGTGCTTGTGCATATATGTGTGTAAATGAGTGAAGATTAGAGAAGTGTGTATTTTTGAGCTAAATCTTCACAGCGCCATGCTAACATCTTCTCTGTTTAGTATTCATGCTTTGACATCGTCAAAATATCAGTCCTCGTTTTATAGGTGGTGAATTGGTCGTTGTCCATTCTTGCACATGAGTCCTATACGAAACTAAATCAATACTGAATTATGTTTGCCAAAATTCGAGTATAACGGTGTTGATTCTGCTGGTCATATGCTTATTGTTGGATTAAACTTGTTATATACTCTTCTTGTTGGATTAGATTTGTCTTCTTTCTCTGCTAGTGCTTAAAATGTTTTGTTTACTGGACTTGTCTCCCTTGTGAATGAACAATGGTGTCTGCTGAAATCCGCTGAATACGCTACCGAGAGCTTGTCTCTTAAAATAGAAGCTCGCTGACTGCGCTTGACAAGGCCACAATCATAACTATGGACTCTCTATCCTTCTCTCAGCATTTCATTGTCTTCATCACATGTGCTTCTTCTTTCTGTCCGTCATTCGCATTTTTGTTATTGCTCTGTTTCAAGGCCCTGCGAGGACGGAGTCGAAGTTGTACAGCACTGGGTGAAACTCCTGTTCTTTCCGCATTCGCATTGCTCTCAACTTGAAGGGTTTGAGTACGGGTATATGCATGTAAATTTGGTAAGGAAAGATCAATTCAGTAAAGGTGAATCCTTCCTTGCCTGCTCTCTCTTTTTTTTGTTTTCATCTTGCTCTCCAGAGTCGGTATTATGTTGTGATCCTATTTGGAAAGCTTGAGGACTTGAATATTTTAATTCCCCAAAAAAATTTGTAGTAGCTGCAGTTCTTTGGGGAATTATTGATTGCTTAGGGGAATTGGTGTCTTGCGATTTGTGAAACCAAGTTTTTAGCAGGCTATGCTTAACATTTGCTTTTCTTCAGTCCTATCAAAACCCCTCCGGCATGTGATGAAGCTATATCAATACGATCTCTTACCTCAGCAGTTTTATGGATAGCCAGGGATTAAACCAAAGTTTTGATTTGATATTAAATCATAATTGGAGTGTGTGTTTTGTGTTCTGTTTTGCAACCTGGACGGTTTATTCATGTAGCTGATACTTGCATATACTTTTCATAAAATGAGTGGGCAATGAATGGGTGTAAAGAATACATGTCGATTTCGAAAGAAATAGAACCGTTGTCATGTTTGATCATGCTGGAATGGAATTTGGATTTGCTGGCTTATCTGATTGGGGTTCAATTTCGGCATGTTGTGATGTCATTTTTATCATGTGAACATGTATGATGATTTAGAAGAATGTTATGGTGAATTGGTGATAATTTTTATCAACAAATAACCATGTTGCTGTGCCTTGAACTTGCTGGATATGGGCTGTCATCACCATTCCTTTGCTGGTCACTCTCTTTGGGGTGTAGATTGAATTGATCTGAAGCCCATCCCAGTGTTGTTCTTATTACCCGTGATGTGGTGTTTGTATGTTGACGATTTCTTAATCATTGGGCATGGTTGTTGCCAATTGCTTTGATTGAGGTGATGCTGAAATTCATGGAGTATCTCAGTGAAGATTTGATTCAGAGGAAGGACCCAGAATAAGAGAAGAAAACGAAAAAAAATAAAATAAAATTCTTAAAATAAAAATTAGAAATGGTTAGAAAAAAATAGGCATTAATTAGGTTGTTAGATTTTAGTATTAGAATTAGTTTATTCTTGGAAGATTAATACTTCAAAAAAGAAATTGAACTCAATTTGTACTAAAATCATGGAGGTTGCTGTCCTGGGGCTTAACAACAAGGTCATGTTATATTCATTGTCCAACTCGTATCGGTTTACTTTACTGCACTTTATATTTTACTCGTTCTTTCATTACTTTCTTAGATCAATTAATTATGATTCTTTTATAATGTTTTCCTATGTTTTATTTTGCTTGCTTTAGCTAAGTGGTTAAGTTACAATCATAATAAACACCAAAAACATTGTCTGGACACTTAGCGGACGAAAACGTTAGGACTCATAATTGGATAAAAAGATTGCATGACCACTTTAGCTAACAAATAATCAAGTTTAGGTACCAAAAGAGCACTAATTAGATAACTAGTGTAATCAAGTCATCGATCCTAAATCTTTGGTTGCATAGGAAATGAGGTATACTCCCGTACCTCACTTGGTTTCTGGCAGACCCCAATAGGCTGGCGGCAAATCCAGTTTCACATAGGATATTCATAAGCTAAATCAAACTTAAAATGAAACGCAACCTCATGCAAGGTAATGGCTTGGGAGAGCCAGCGCCTAATCAAGGGCCGTTGGCCCGCCTTTTGGGCATTACCTCTAAATTAGTCTTTTCCCCAACCACGTCGCGGAAAAAGCTGTCGCGACAATGTGATGATAGAATGTGCTTTTTTTGGAGAAATTAACAGAATCATACGTTAGTGAAGAGAAACAGCTCAAAAGGTACTATGAGGAACAGTACATGCAAACCCTTGTATCGAATACACATTTTTCGTAGTTGATGGGATTGGAATCTAGTGCAGGGGAGAAATGGCTTTGATTCAGGTGATTCGTTCAAGTCTTGGCTTCTCTGCTCCCGCTATGGAGCTCAGCTTGCTCTGTTTTTCCTTATAGCTTAGTCTCATCCACGAGATGGAAAAGTCGGTTCTTGAAGCTAACGCCCGTTCTGTAAAGATTGTTTTAGAATATCTTTTTGGATTTACTTATATTCTATCTCCAGTCGAGCCTACTAGAACCGGTAGATTTTGATGAAAACAATTGGAACATACATCAGTTATTTTAGAATTTGAACCTTAGACTTGACTAAGATGAGACTGATTAATCAAACTCTCTTTGGGAGGTTGATGAGTTGCTTTTGAGGTGAGATTGTACGACATCAAGCGAAGGTCTGGCCTGTATTCATGCTAAAACTTGCAGTGATAAATTATAGAAAGACCTCGGAACTTTAGGTGGAGATAATGGGATGGTAAAATATGTTTCTAAGGTATAGTTGAAAGCGAAGAATTAATGAAGTTGCAACGGTTGGCAGTCATAGAAAAAGGAATTTGGGTTGACGGAGAGGGATCCCACGTGGACCTAATTTATACGTGAAAAATGAATATTTTAATGTTTATTTTTTATTGTGTGAAAAAAAAATTATATAAAGGTTATAAAGTCCTCTCCTTTCGAAGCTCTCAATCCTGCGCAAGAGCTGCATCGTTCACTTTATAAAGGGAAGTAAAGGCATCCCAAAAAGAAGTTCGATTTTTGTACGGCCTCTGTGATTAATATTGATAACTCTTTTTTTAAACTTTTTTTTAATAATTCAGAGATATTGACATGAAAACACTCATGGAACATCCTGAAAATCCCACGAATTTAATTCTTCTTGTTTAGGATTAAATTTGTTCTATTTGTGTTTGTGGTACTTGATAGAAGTTTGAACGGCAAGATGTCATTGTCTCTCCTCTCTAACTTTTTAAGTGATTAACTTATATTGCAATCTTTGATAGTGCACATCGGACGTTGAAATTTACTGGAATTTTAATTGATCTCGAAACTCCAACTTGAGGCTTGACTCAAGCATGACTTATTAATTAAACTCTCTTTATGAAGGATAATGAAAGTGATTCCGTGATGTCATCCCATTAGTAGCGACTAGCGAGACACTTATTTAATACGTTCACCTTTTTACTGTTGCATCAGGGTCTTAATTTAGCTCGCAGCCTTGGAGCAATTTCAACATCTTTTAAGGGGCGGTGGCCAATTTTTGTAATCATTCTAGGGCTAGCAACAAGATGTGCCGGGAGAAGAATGGTACGAGATTGCTCATAGCCTGCAGATAAAGCACGAATTCGATTGAGAACCGCCAGGAAGATGAATAATAAACGTATCAGTTTGCTTTCTTTTAGTATAATAAGCAGCTCTTTTTTCAACAAGTATGCAAAATAATTTAAATCCCAGGGTTCTTCTTCTATATTGAACCATGTGAAACAGGTTTCATTTGGAAAAAATATTTTTCCCTTATCTTATCTCCAAAGAGACCGAGTTATATTAGAATCCCATTTTCATATCATCAATCCTAACTAAATATCCTTGCCGCTCCATGTGTTGGTTCAATAGGTGTAGGATCATATCGATGGACGGTCTCGGGCTCGGCCTAATCCTTACGTCAGGCCTAATATAGTACCCAGTTGAAGTTAATTTATTTGAGTTTCATTGTGATCTTACGATCTTCTTCTAAGGTGACAAGGCTTCTTATATTTAAATATTAAATCTCTTTCAGCAGTTTCAACAAATTCTGGGTTGAAGCTTAATCCTCAGTTATAGAACTTTTTTTGAGTAGATATGGCAGAGCTTATTGCAGCGATTTGCTTCGAAGAAGTGGCATTCTGAGAGGAGCATCGCTTATTATATACCTTGAACTTTCTTCAATATCTGGCAAAGCTTAGTGACATTGATCGCACACCATTAAGTTGAAAGGATGACCGGAAGAATGTCAAGCATTTGACTTTTGCGGACAAACTACAACTCATTAAATCAGTTATATTTAGCTTGGTAAGATAGAGGAAAGTAAGCGCATTGCCGGCCTTTGGGAAAGGCTAGCCTCACAATGCCGAGGGAGCAAGAGCAAATCTCCTTCCTCATGGTTTTGCCAATGGGCATCCTGGGGTACGACTAGGAGTTCATTTTTTCGAGAGTAGTGTAATAATGCTACCTCGAGAGGAATGTTAAAGTTCCAGACGTCATCTATTGTGAAAGTAAGGAAAAGAGGAAAAAAAAGGAAAAGATGGCACGTCAAACCGAAATATAATGACAAGGTCCACCATGTGCAGTGGATTTCAAGCTCCACGCTTTCACATCACCGGCATAGGAATAGCTAAGGGCTTGTCTTGATAAATTTTTATACTTTGTTTTCTTTTTTGTTTAATCTAATCTTATCGCGGACACATCTTTACATTTTTTGGCTTGGAACATATGAAATGTTGGGCACTGATCAGGAAAAAAAAAAAAACAAGAAGAAGAAGCTGGGCTTATTTGTTCTTTAGCCCCCACTTGGAGAAATTTTTATCTGCATCTGCTAAGAAAAAGAATCTTTGGTTGTCACTTTCTAAACCACGTGGGACTGACTATTGTTTGCCATTACCTAACATTAACAGGGTCGCTGGTAATTACATATTTAATGCAAAAGCTTAATAAACCCATGAATAGGTTACTAATCTCAGAGTCTTCTATATTAAAACTTGCTATTACATTGTAGAAATTATCTGTCATGTTCAAATTTGTCAGGTTATCTATATGGTAAAGTTACTTTTCGTATGAAACATTGCTCATCATGTAAAAAAGTTAATAATTATTCAGAAATTGAAAGTAGAGTTTCTTAAAGAAAGTTTCTGATTTCATGTAAAAATTATTAGTTACATACTTACTTACAATTTACATATTTTCTTTCGGAAATCCTAGTAGACAAAGGGGGTTAGCAAGAAATAGAATGACATATAATTAAAATTGGCATCCACAGAAATGTTGAACATGCAACTTACGTGGAAGGGGGAGTTATGAGATCCAACAGCTAATCATGAATAGGTGTGAATAAGAATGCGCAACTCATGCTATCCTTGTTAAGGATCTCAAGCATCTTGCCAATTGTTTTGTGAAATATTTAGTCCCATGTTGAACAAGAAAGGATTTGTGACATTACTTAGTCCCATGTTGACCACAATGTCACGTTATATATATTAGGACCAAATTTCAAATGGTCGCCACCTTGTATACTTTTGCGAGTTCAATTCTTTATGCAGAACAGTTAAATGTTAGAAGACATTTATCTTAATTGCTCGGTGTGATTTAGAATAGGACGCGAGTGCAATGTTTACCGAAAAGTAACAGTTTGTCTACGAATTGACAAGGATAGTGAATCCTAGATGCAATATCACTATTTGTCTATTAATCTTTGATACGTATAGTCTTATAAAGGAAGTATATACATATCCATAATATAATTGTCCTTGTTTGAATGCAGTTAGTGTTGGAAATAAGAAACATACTATTTGACTAGGCCAGAATTAAAACGAGAAATGTATTAAAGGTCCATGTCCAATTTCGAACCCGTCTTTCTATGGACAGAAAACCCATGTCAAATTTACTATTAGAACTCAAATGTAACATTATATCATCAACCATAAGCTGATATTGTCGTCCGAACACCAAAGATTGTGCAGCCCTTGGGGGCATTCCAGCGATGCTGTTGTCTAAGCTGCAAAACAGATGGCTTCTGGGCTTGAGTTGATTGGGCCGGATGTAGTGTAGCCTTTGTAAGTGGATGGTCACTCTGATTTGTCGGCCAACGAAAATATTTTCTTCTAAAAGATCCTTTAGTTACAGCACGGTGATGTCGACGAGTGGAAAATTGTGGTTTTGCTTTACCAACACGTTATCTCCCAATTTTTTCGGTCGCCTTTTGAAAAAAGGAAAAAGCAAGGAAAAGAAGAAAGAGGACACGTCAAACCCAAGGACAATGATATGGTCCACACCTGTGGTGGATTTCAAGCGGTACCTCCCACATTCCTAAACAAAATAGCCAAAGGCGTTATTCTCTTAGACTTTAACATTTTTGCTTTAATTTTTCCTTTAATCTAATATAATATTTCTACAACAATATGTGAACATCAACTTGCCTTACATACATATTAAGTAGATGTAAATCTTTCTTGTGGACACACACGGCGAGCATGTTTTGCGATTAGCATCTATAATTTAAACACTTCCTATCATTTATTATT